TCACTCTTAGTCTTAATGGGTTGGCCTTGGTCTAAAGTAGGGGTGAGCAGGGTTAAAAAGAATAAAAAATAGATGATTATTAGAGATTTACCTATCTCCAGGCTAGAAACAAATTTTGAAAATTACTATGGTTTGGGCTGGACTAGGAAAATATTTTTATAAATTATTTTTGGCTGGATTTGGGGAAAATTATTCAAAATTATTATCAGCTTGGACGCTTGGGAATTTTTTTTATTATTAACTATGGATCAGACAATGGCCTAAAACAAATTTTTTTACAGGCCTGCTCGGTCTGATCTAAAAACCAAGGCCCATAAAAATCTGATTTTGAATATATTTTTAAATTCATTATTATTTTTTAAATATTTTTTTTCAATTCTCAACTAACAAAATTATTATTATCTTTCATTGGGCTTGGAACAATTTTTTCAAAATTATTATGGCGTAAGTTGATTAGGAATTTTTTTTAATATTAAATATTAGACATGGGAGATCAGTAATATTTAACAAATGATATTGATATTATTAAGTAAAAATTTTAAATATATTTTGACTCAAACCATAGTATTTACACTTAGTTTTAATGGATTGAACCTGGCCTGAAGAGAGAGGGGGGGGGGGGGTTATAAAGAATAAAAATTGGATATTATATTCAAATATCAGGTAACAACTATCATAAAAATATGGGGTCATGATAAATCAACCACGGTTCGGCCGACCCCCTTCGATTTTTTTAAAATTTGGTAAGCAAAGAAAGGTTAGTGTAGTTAAGAAATAGTCAAAATTTTAGCCTCGTATCATTCATATTTTTGGAGATATTAGGGTTCAAAGTGGCAAAAATGACGTATTTTTACCATTGCCTTCATTTAATTAAGCATATCTTAAAAACTACATAATTGTAAATAACAAATTTAATATCAAAATTACATACAAAGATTCTACTTTTAGATAAATCCAATTTCCGGTAATATTATTTAATATAATAAGGACTAAAAACAATTTTTTGGAAATAATACGACCTTCAATTTTTTTTAAAAATTTAGTAGAGATTATTAAATCTTCCTTTATATTTATAAAAAAAAATTAATCTGGGACGCGGCCATCTTCATTCTCAAAATCGATAAAAATGTTTAGAAAAGTGTATAAATATTGTCCCGAAAGGGAGCGTCTTTGTATAAAATTATATATTAATCAGTTTTTAATGGTTTTTCTTGGACTATTTGATATAATTTAAAGAATTATTCATCTTGTAAGTGAAAATAACAATAAATGGGGCTTTCATTCAATTATAGAAATTGTCTATCGTTAAAAGAAATTCAATTTATTACTTTATAATTTATTATAAAATTTTTTGCGCATATAACATATATTTAATGAATATTAATAAAATATGTTCAATTAAATTTCGAGTTCTTGAATATATGAATCAGAATCTTGTGCATTTCATATATGGCGCCCTAAATATTAAAAAAATTGATATTATTTAAATTTAAAAATCTAATAAACAACTCACTAAAAGATTCTAATTTTTCGGTAGCGCATTTACTTTCTTGTGACAACAATGTATAACTACGGCCAGTAGCAGTTAACAGTGAAACTAATGTTAAGATATGACATTTGGGCAAGTAAAGAGTGTCGTCTATACTTGGAAATGTAAAGGAATTGGAAGGTCCGGATGGGTTAAAAATTTTATATATATTTCTTCCTGCTTTTAATTTTTCACTAAAACAAAGCTAACCACCAATTAGAATCATAAGGATACGTTAGGTATCCTGATATTTCTTCAATAATTATACTTTCATCATTATATGATAACTATTCTAAAGTACTTTCTATTGAATTATAATACATTTTACTTTTAAATTATGTAGATCTGTTGGAATCAAGGTGTGTATTTTGTGTGTTCCAGGTATAGATCTAGTTTTTGAAAATCTTTCCCTGAGTAATAGATCTTGGTAATCATAATTTATTTTGGTCATCTATTCAAAATATATGACATTAATATTTTCTTTATTTAACTCGTACAATTCATATGATGTGGTTATTTACTTTGAGTAAGGCCTTGTAAACTAGCTCTAGCGGCTAATCTTTTAACAGTGCCACCAATCCCATCACAAACACTTTTCCCGTGTGCTATAGCAGAAAAATGCCATATCGCCTGTACCCCGAAATCCATCTCATGATGGCAAATATTAATAAAATTTTTACGATTTTTATCATCGGAAAAATAAAAAATTTTATTTGGCCTACAAATTTTATTAATTAAAAAATTTACCAATGTTTTTTTGAAATTATGTACTGCTATTGTATTGTGTTGCAAAGATTCGGATATCATTACATAATTTAGGCAACAAATATTGGCAAAATTATCTTTATAATATATAACAAAAGGGTGAGCAGTGGATTGAGCCCTATTCCAATGATAATTTTGTACTCTATAGTTTTCTTAAAAATCACATAAAATTAAATATTGGTCTTCGTCTAAGTTCAATTTTAGATTGTTTTGATACAACGATTGTTGCGTTGAAATAAAAAAAATGGAGTAATAAAGATTCCATTAGGCATTGATAAATTCACCTACTGGTTTGGTTATTGTTTCAAGAGTGGTTCTATCTACGGATAGCCATTGTTTGTATGTTATAAATTCGATGTCCTTAGAACGAAACAATATTTCTATTTGATCGCGTAAATGTGTTGACCCTGGACAATTATCACATTTGCCCATATAAACTGGATGGTTGAGGCGAATTACAAATTATTAAGTGTAAAATATGTTTGTATGTTTAAAGGGCAACATATCATTAGTTAAATTTGATCTAATTATCATTAATTTAAAATTTTGGTGGTAGCTGCAATCACATACATGTGTACCACTACCTCCAACGAGTATACAATTTTTGAGCGAATGCTTGCAAATTTCGAAAAACCAATTTTAACATCAGGCCTCATTTCTTTAAAAAATATATGAATTTCTTTCAAATTATCTAAAATTAATCTCTTATGTATGGTATTCTTTTTTCCGTCTTTGGTCAAAATCGAAACGCAATCTTTCTTGCCTGGCATGATTCTGCTTATTTCGTCCATACAATAAAATTCTTGTACAATTTTAACTGTATATTCGTCTGTAGTTTTTCCAGGCTTGGGGTTAGGTATACCAATAAATTAATTAAAAAATGAATTAATATAGTGAGCATGTATTATTGAATGATTAATCAATTTTAAAATTTTTATTTATTTTATTGATTGAAACACTTATTTATTGTTATTCTAATTTAGTAAAGCTATGCCGATTTTAGAAAATCCGATCCAATATTTATATTGTTTTGGGTTATTTTATGATAATACTTTTATTTTGTGTATAATTTCATAATAATAATAAATTAATATTTTAAAAATATCAAATTATTTTAAAAAATTGAGTAAAGAAAATTTTGATATTATTTTTTGGCGTCTATGAAATGCACAAGATTCTTATTCATATATTCAAGAACTATAAACTTGGTTAAATATATTTTATTAATAATATATGTTATATGGGCAAAATTTTTTATAATAAATTATAAATAAAGTAATAAATTGAATTTCTTTTATCGATATACAATTTCTATAATTTAACGAAAGCCCCGTTTATTGTTTTACAAGATGAATAATCCTTTAAATTATATCAAATAGTCCAAGAAAAACCATTAAAAACTGATTAATATATAATTCTATACAAAGACGCCCCCTTTCGGGAAAAAATTAATACACTTTTCTAAACATTTTTATCGATTTTGAGAATGAAGATGGCTGCGTCCCAAACCAATTTATTTATATAAATATAAAGGAAGAGTTTAATAATCTCTACTAAATTTTAAAAAAAAATTGAAGGTCGTATTATTTCCAAAAAATTGTTTTTAGTCCTTATATATTAAATAAAATTATCGGAAATTGGAAAATTATCTAAAAGTAGAATCTTTGTACGTAATTTTGATATTAAATTTGTCATTTACAATTATGTAATTTTTAAGATATGCTTAATTGAATGAAGGCAGGGTAAAAATACGTCATTTTGCCACTTTGAACCCTAATATCTCCAAAAATATAAATGTTATTAGGCTAAAATTTTGGCTATTTCTTAGTTACATTGACCTTTCTTTGCTTACCAAATTTTAAAAAAATCGAAAGGGGTAGGCCGAAAATCTCATTTTTTTGCTCATTTGATGTGGAATGACCCTATGGAGAAAATTCTTATACTCCATCATTTTTGAAGGACTAACTACTATTATTTATATAATATTAAACCTAAACATTAATCAATAATAAAGTAAAAAATTATTAAATAAAATATAAAGTAATATGTATGTTAATACTCCAAATAGTAATGCAATTACATGATTTTTTAGAAATAAATAAATTACATTACTTTTGTAATTGTGTACTATATAGCACCAACAATTTGTTATTGTGAAAATTCCTTTTTTTTTATATTGTTTTGAATCTTTATCAAAGTTTAAATCTTAAATTTATAAAAGGTTTAATCTAAAACTGAAAAATAATTATATATAGCTATATATAAGGTAAAGATGGACCAATAACAATACTTGGCATCAGTCAGTATTGATATCAGCTGATACTTTAAATCTTAACCAATACCAATGGCCAATACTCAAAAATGATAATTAATCTTCATAAAATAGTCAGTATTATGTTATGAATTCATAAAAAAAAATTCATATAAAAATTTCTAAATTGATAAAAATACATTTAAGTGTTTTTAATCTTTATATACTATTTCTTTTATTTTCATTTTATGTATATCATTAATTGATTATAAATCAAATTATAATATTGATGAATTACATTTTTGCTCAAAAAATAGAAATACTACATTATTATTTTTGGCATCTGTGTGGGGTATCAGTGGGATTGATTTATAGTCTTAGTATAGGAGGTATTGGTTTGGGTATCAGTATTGGCCTGTTATTGGTAGATTGATAGTCAATAACTAATCAAATTACCTTCTAGAAAAATACTTAAACCCTTCTTTTTTTGAGTAATGAATTTGTGTACGTTCTCCATCAAATTTTGTTTCAATAATAAAACCATCTCTGTTGCCTTCTTGTTTTTCTTCCTTAATTAAATTCATTACTGAATAATGGGATGATCTCTCTGCCAACATTGGTTTAAATGGGATAAAAAGTTTGATATGTATATCTTTAACCCTAATATTAGGATCCCTCAAAGTTAGACATAGCTATAAAAATTTATACAACATTTACTTTAAAATATAATAACCTTCTCTAAATCATTGCTAACATTAAATAATGCTGCAGCATCAGGATGGTATAATTTCAGTACATTAGAAGGACTTAAGCCTATTGAGACCTTTTTTAGTATTATACGAATTAACCATTTTTGTTCCATTGCAGACATGTTTTTTAACATATATGACAGATTTTTAATAATCATATCTAAATTTTAATTAATATAGTAAATATAATATTATATAGACTTCTGTTTTTTATAGCTTTGTTTATGGCAATATTGTCCAAACATTCATTAACACTTTCTATGCTCATATTTCCATGTTCAGGGCACCTTTCTTTTAAAACTTGAAATGCAATATCAGCAAAATCAACATGACTCTTAAATTTGTAAAATTTTAATAATTTGTTTAATTGCATTACTTTATCATCATTTCCCAGATCTTTATAATGCAATAATCGTTTGGCATCTATGCCATCTTTGGGTATACTTAAAGCTTTTATATAAAGGTGTGCTAATGCCATCTTTAATTTATATGCTGTAATGTATATAACAATTTTAAACCTCTTTGACTCCATAGGCTATCCTTTCTCTCTCATAATCAGGTAATATCATACGTAATGCTGGATAAAACGAATCATTCTAAAAAAATATTATTTTAATCCAAAAATATATATATACTGTTTTTGACTTTTCATTTGAATGCAAATATTTATGATAAGTGCGCCAAGAATCTATAAACTTACTTAAAATCAATTTTTTTATCTTCAATAGATGAGTGTGAATAATTTTTTCAAGCAAATCAGCAAGATCATAAAAGGAAACTCTACCTGCAACTACATATTGCATATTACTAAGGCCCACCAAAGTATAGAAGGGATATTATATGTTCGTATCGTACCGCCTTTACTATTTTTTAGTTATAATTAGATATTTTGTCGGTAAACTTTTCCTTAAGCTTTTTGCATGCTCAAATCAATGACATATAATATACCTAGACTGACGATTCATTCATTAAAAGTGTACATCAATACAAATCAGCTGGGGACGCCATTTTGGTAACCTATAAAGTAATTATTCTCATGTAAAAAGCTGCTATATACTTTCTAATTTTTTGGAACTAAAAAACAAATATATATTATCCTAATTTTATGATTAAGATTGATGTTATTTGTAAATATGTTATTTTAAAAAGATTTTTCAATATTTGAAGATATTTGCCACTCATATTTTCCAAGTATATTAATAATTTATGATTGATATTTGATAATGGTTTGTTTTTCATTTATGTAATGATCATAACTATGCTGCTAATAACTATACCTTAACCAGAAAGGTTAAATAATATTACTTCAAAAAACAATAATAACCTTTTTATTTAAAAAAAATATTTTTTTAGAGAAAATATTTTCCAAAAACAAGTGACACTTTAAATATTCTTGAAGATGTAGATTTGGAGAAACCTGCTAGTCATGTAAGCCCTATTTATTAAAATTCTTGTGAGATTTATTATTTGTCTATATTTTAATATTTATATTATAAAACATATTTTTATAAGAATGTTTCAAAAACAATTGACACTATTAATATTCTTGAAGATGTATATTTGGAGAAATCTGCTAGTCATGTAAGCCCTATTTATTAAAATTCTTGTGAGATTTATTATTTGTCTATATTTTAATATTTATTACAATATTTATATTATAAAACATATTTTTATAAGAATGTTTCAAAAACAATTGACACTATTAATATTCTTGAAGATGTAGATTTGGAGAAACCTGCTAGTCATGTAAGCCCTATTTATTAAAATTCTTGTGAAATTTATTATTTGTCTATATTTTAATATTTATTACAATATATAAATTAAAATATTAATAATTTGATTTTAGGTTTTCTCGATGCTTCTTTTGATAGAATTAAAAGATTTCTATCTGATTCGAAAGTAAAATTATTCACCACATTAAGCCTTGATGAAATGTCCATTCGTCATATTGTACAATGGGACAAAAAGGAGTACCATGGATATGTTGATTGGGCAATGAAATCAAACCATCTGATTCTCTTCCTAAAGCCAAACAGGCTCTTTTTCTTATGGCAACATGTCTTAATGGAACATGGAAAATTCCCATAGGATACTTCTTAGTATCAAATACTACTGGAGATTTGCTTGCTAATATAGTCACTAATGCTCTTCATTTATTACATGATACAGGCACTTCCTGTAAAGTTATAGTATGTGATGGTTTGGCGGCTAATATAAAAATGTACCAACTACTTGGTGCATCTATAGATCCTGATCTATGTATACCCTATTTTACTCACCCATTAAATTTTGATGAAAAAGTCTACATTATGTTGGACGTATGCCACATGATTAAGTTGTTGAGAAATCTTTAATTTATAATAATGGATCAGTAATTAAATTACTATTAAAATATATATTTTTATAAATTAATAGATAATAAATTGTAAATATATAGCTAATCTTCACAATTTACAAGATAAAGAAGGACTTCGTGCTGCTAATAAAATTAATAAATCTCATATTGACTATCACAAACAAAAAATGAAAGTACAATTAAAAATATTACAATACTTATATTTTTTTTTAAAGGTTAGACTTGCTGTACAAGTTTTTAGTAGCTCAGTGGCAAAAGGTATTCTTTTGGCACAAGAGCTAAAGATTGATGGGTTTGAAAATTGTGAGAGCACAGTTGACTTTATTCAAATCATTGATCAGTATTAAAATATATTAATATTTTTATAGAATGTTTGACTTTTTAAATACACGGAACATAGTTGCTAAAGGGTTTAAAAAACCACTAACTACAAATTCACTTTCTTATTATAAATTTTTTTGAGATGTGCATTACAACTTTAAAATCCTTAGTTTGAAAGTGGAAAATACGTTTATAGATCAAAAAAAAAAGTCTGCATTATAGGCTTAATCTTGTCAATGAAAAGCATTTTGGGAATTGGGAGGGAATTATTATTAGGACCTAACCCCAAACTCATCAAGTATTTTATTTAGCATTATATATATTTTGTATATTTATTGCTTTTCATATTTTAGATATCTTTTAACCTACAAAACATCTCAAGATCATCTAGAGCTCTTCTTTAGCTGTTTACGAAGCAAAGGAGGTTTTAATAATAACCCTTCTGCCTATCAATTACGATCAGCTATAAGAGGCGTTATGATAGCAAAGATGGGAGCCTTATGCACAGGTAATTGTATTCCACTCGATAATACAAATCTTTTTTGTGGAGATTATCAAGATGATGACAATATACGAGCTATAGATTTTTCTTTTATAGATGTTCCAGATATCCAAAAATTATCGCCATTCGTTGATAACATCGCAACTTATATATCAGGATATATAACACGTAAACTTATATCCGAAAATAAGGTAAAGTGTTATATATGTATTTCTGCAATGATTGTTAAAAATTGTAAAGATCAAGAGAGCTATAATTTAATTAAAATTAAAAACAATCAGGGATTAATAATTCCTTCCAGAGATGTATCTAGATTATGCCAATATGCTGAAAGTGGTTTCCGTACATTTGAACATAATAATCAAATTAAAAAGTTTTGTATATTTAAACGAATAATATCTTTTGTGATTTCAAAAGTGATAGAAACAAATATTTTTGATAATCTGGTTGATCACATGCTAGATCAAGAAGAAACATCTAGCCATTATCAAAAATTAATTAGATTAATAGTTGAACGATACATAAACATAAGTTTTTATCATTTTGCAGATAAACAAAATAAAAATGAAAATACCAACATTCGTCAGAAGCTGACCAAAACCATTCTATTTAAAGGACAATAAATATATCTATATAATCTTTTTTAATTTAAATGATATTAGATATATATTGTAACTATATATATTTAAATATAAATAATATCTATAAATCCTTTTGTAATTCATGAATATTATTTCTATTTATTAATTTATAATAAACAATTATTGATTTTCATCATAAGATTAATAATCTCATAATATTAAGTTATGAAATTCTTCAAAAAATAAAAAGGTAAGATTAAGCTAAATTTATCTGAAGTCTAATGTTTTAATCTATATTTTTTTTATTGATAAAATAAACTGGATAATATAATATAAGCAAAAATAATTTTTTATTTGCAATACATAATTTATCGTAAGATATATCTATTAAATCAATATGATCCAATTAGCACAACTGATTAAAATATTAAATTCATATTGTATTTCTTTAATAATATAACATATTTTTTATAATATATATATTATTGAGAATCTGAAGATTAAACATTTACTTTATATTAAAAAAAGAAGAAATACCTCTATTTTTAAGATTCAGGATCACAACTTTAAAATTGAGAGAACTTTACATTTATTATTTAAGAAAAATATTGGAGGATGCCTAATATTCTGGATTTCTAAGTTATATTTTACTTTTTTATTAATATCATAATGTAAATTTTTAGCTAGAATTCTTTAAAAATTAACTTATATTTAGATGTTTAAGCCAAACAATATGAATATTTATAATAAAAATCCTGATGATTCAGTTTATCACCTTGTATGATTCGAAATATTAAAAGGGCAAGTAAAGTCTCATATTAAGATAAACATAAATTTAAGCAATGATTTAAATATATCTACCTTATTAGATATTTTAAGACTAGAATAGAAACTAAAAACAATTATATTGTGTCTTAAGAAAAACAAATGATAAGTAAGGGAACTTTATTAGATACTTTATATTCTATGTATAAAAAAATGTTTAAAATATAAATTTTAATAATTTAGTCATATAATTTTAAATTATTTGAATTTGGTCTGCTAAATATATATCTTCTTGGAAGAATAGCCTTGGAATATTTGTAGGATAGGATCCTTGATGGTACCATTAATGCAGATGGATGTGGATTTAAATTCTTTGTTAAGTATCATAGGAAAAATTTCAGATATAGTAATAAATTAGGCTCGTAATTTTAATAATGATTTCTGTTACCAAAATGGCGGGTCCAGCTGATTTGCTTTTAACGACGCTTAAAAATGCATTTTAATGAATGAATCGTCAGTCTATGTATATTATATGTCATTGACTTAGATTTATAGCATTATTTTTACAGTCATAATAGTCTTTTAAAATTACCATGTGATCTTATGGGTATATTTATATTTTCATCATTTTTATATTTACATATTAAAATTATTTCAAATGATATTATGTCCACAAAAATTTCCTTTAATTTATAAATAGTATGGCCCTAACTAAGTTAAAGATGTTATCGGTTAGGGTCCACTAGATCGTATGAACATTTATGAAAAACGTCAAATGACCTAAAATGGCCACAAATATATTTGAAGCGATTATAATATTTGTATAATTTTGAAATGATGTAACAGATAAGACAAATAAATTAAAATATACTTTTTATTTTAAATAAAATTAAATATAAATATAAATTGCTAAATGGTAATTAATATAGATTATATACAATTAATATTATAATAATTGTATAAATAATAGAAAAGAACATATTAAAAAATTTAATTAATTAAGATAATATATTATAAATTGCAGATAATTAATAAAATTTTAGAAAACTCTTCTAGATCTATTAATATATAACAGACAGCACGATTATACTATAAATATATCTTTAAATCAGTGATGAAGCAAAATAAAAAAATGTTTATTTTTTTTATTATATTTTTTTCCTTACTTAATTAATGTTTACTAATTGTAATTATGTTATTTAAAATTTATTATGATTATCAGAGTTGTATAAAAAGTATATGCATCTATATTATTTCAGAGGTATCTGTTTATAGATAATTTTTAAGATACATTTTGATATACTTTTATTTAACGCCTTTTTATCTAAAAAATAAAAATATTTAGATGCAAATTTTATGTTATATGTATGAGCATATAATTTAAATAAATATATATTATAAAAATATTAAGACTAATATAATAAAAAAATATATATATAATATTAAAACACATATATAGAAATTTTTTTCCCATTATCTATAGATCAGTTCAAGATTGTGAAGGATATTCTTATCATGCAAAGGAATTTATAAATCCTTTCTTAGACATGACGCCTATTAATTATAAACAATACCCAGAGTTGGGCAGGTCATCCGGAAAAAGAATCTAGATACAGATACAGATTCTTTGTGAAAAAATGAATCTTAGATATAGATACTAATATCTTTTTCAAAATATCAAAAAGATACAAGATAAAAGATACTTGTATCTTTTGCCTAACTAGAGTATCTTAAATACAAGATACTTCTAAATTATCATTACCAATTAAATTAGAATAGTTTGTAAAATACAGTTTTTATTATTTATTTGTGAAGAACATAACATTCATATAATAAGAATGAATATTTACAATAATTACTAAAATATTTAATCATGAGTTGATTATAATAATCAGGTATTTTAATATTAGTATTAGCCCATTCTTAGCATAGATGAAGGGAGACTAGTATTTTTAATGGGAGTTGAAATATTAATTTGCAAAAGAGTATTTAAAATAAATTCATTATTTTATAAGATAATCAAATTTTTCAAATATTTATAATTGGACCTTTGCCGTTTTGGCGTACTTAACATTAAACTAAATAACCTTTCAATTGGAGCTGATGAAGGTATTGCAGTATTAAATTTATAAAAAATTTCCTTAATGGAAGAATAATTATTAAGCATTTATGACTTTCTTTAATATAATTTAAAACCCCCAGTTCAATGTTATTTATATTATTGAACTCCGCAACCTTTGTTTTACCAAAAGAAAAATAATATGGATGTGATATTGATATCAAAAAAGCCTCATTATATTCAAATCATAACTAGTATCTTATTAAAAATTTTAAAAAGATACTGAGTACAAGATAAAAATATTTTTGACTTTGATTGAAAAAAAGTTATTAAAAAATTTAAAATCTAGCAATAATTATAATTCTGTGTTTGATCATTTTACTCAAAAACAAAGACGAATTATACTTATTTATATATTTTAATCTTTTTATGGTTTGACTAAAAATAAAAATTCTATTGCTTTGATAGTAGTGAATTTGACGCTTCATCACTATATAAATATTGAAGTTTATCATAAGTACTTTTGTGGGTTTATACATAAATTCTTTATCATAAAATTAAATTTTTTTATGCTAATATTTAAAGTTTTATCTTGAGGTAATATTAGTTCAAAAATATGTTTTTCTGTAAATGTTTAATTAATCTATATACCTACCCTATTATCCAATATTGTTACATTAATATATAACCCATAATAAGATAGTTGATTTTCTTAACTATATCATACCTTTGTCATCTTTCCTAACTATTCAAAAGTCTGACTTTTAAAACTTTTTCTAAAATTTAAGTGGCACGCTTTTACCTGGTCAGAAAATTGAACTTAATCAAGAATGAACATAAAGTAGTAATAATATTTTTAGGGATTTATTTATTATTTATGTCATAGAAAATTTTAAATATATAATATACCAACAATATTAAAAATAATATATTTCCATTGCGATTATTATAATAAGATTACATATTAGTATTGCGCTATATAAATATGATTAAAAGATTGTATGGTAAATTATTAAAAATGGTTTAGTGCGTGTTAACTATATAAATAAAATATCAATGACGAAACAATATGATAAGGTATATGTAAAAAAAAAATTAAAAACTATAAATTTTGAAAATGACGTATACCACCTATGTCAAACCCGACTATAAATACTCGGATTAATAGTAATGTTATCCTTTATTGACAATATAAAACAATATAGTTTGACAATGGCAGAAAAATTAGAGTGATTTGATTTTTTTGAATATAAAAATTTTGATATTTTCTCCAAATATTCTATAGGGGTAAAAAAACCTCCACAGTATAGTATTATATTTTCATTAATTTTATCGTCTAATATACAATATTTTTTTTTCTTTCCGTAACCTTTCTGCCATCATCTAATTGGATTAATTTTAAGTCCATATCTTGTTCTATAATTTTTATGGTGTCAATAAAGAGATAGGGTCACAGTAAAATGTGACCCAAATTTACCCCTACCCTCGGCATTTGTAATATATGTCGCCAAAATCATGGATGTATAAATATTTGTTATAATATATCATTTTTTTGTTGTTTTTTGATGTTATAAAACTATATTGATTGTTTTGAATGATAGCTATGTTCAAAAATGATATAAATATCTATAAGATACTATTTACTTGGACTAGTGGTACCTCCATTATAGGCATCTATTTCCTCCAAGACCTCTGGGTTCATAACTTTGTTAAAAAATGGATAGCACAAATATATAATTAAAATTTACTTGGACTAGTGGTACCTCCATTATAGACATCTATTTACTCCAAGACCTCTGGGTTCATAACTTTGTTAAAAAATGGATAGCACAAATATATAATTAAAATTTACTTGGACTAGTGGTACTTCCATTATAGGCATCTATTTCCTCCAAGACCTCTGGGTTCATAACTTTGTTAAAAAATGGATAGCACAAATATATAATTAAAATTTACTTGGACTATTGATAATTCTGTTATCGGCATCTATTTCTTCCAAGACCTCTGGGTTCATAACTTTGTTAAAAAATAGATAGCACAAATATATAATTGAAATTTACTTAGACTGTTTGTGATGTCCAAAACTTGTAGATTAAAAGCTTTAAAAAATTATTGTAAATATATATTTGATATTTTACTTTGGCATTCTGCAGTGCATATATTTGATGCTATAATATAAATACACATGATTCAGTAATTAAGTTTTTAATTTTTTATACTTGGTGAAAATAATGATATATTTTTCTGTGTAGATGCATCCAATAATAGAGCATTATCAGCTTAAATATATTTATATGAAATATTTAGCTAT